TCCTATTTGCTTGCTCCTTCCCCCGTGTCGTATAACTTCGTATGTCTTCAACCCTGTCGTACTGAAACCCGAAAAAAAAAAAAAAGGCCCTGGGGGGGTTGGTAAGACTTCGATGATTCGTCTACGACACCGGGCGAAACGGATCATCTGTGCTGTGGAGTGTATGCATTTCCCCAATGTTTGTTTTTCTTTGTTTCTAATTGGACTGTACTGGTGTTCATTGAACTTCGAGGGTAACCCGAGTTCAATGAAATACCAGTTCCGTCTTACGGGTCATATCTTGTTTCTCGCATTCCTATATCCTTCGCTCACTTTTTTCTATGAGGCGGTTGCCTCCGACACCAGTGGTGTTTTTTTCGGGACCAGTGGTCCAACACGCGGCCAGTGGTCGTTTTTTATTACCTATATCCATCTCGTCTAGATTGCATTTTTGTCGATTGACGTTCCTCATACCTCTATGCTCACAAACTGTTTTTATTGTTAACTCCGCATTTGTTCCAAGTTACTAAAGCTATTACGAACATTCCCTAACTTTCAGATAACACAGATTTGTTGCTAGTTTATAGACATGTTTAAATTTTATACAGCTATACACATAATTTGCATTTAAGATTATTTCACATTTGCTATCCTTGTTATTAACTAGTAGGCCCTGCGCGTTTTTCCCTTTTTTTTTTTGTTATTTCTCTTTTTTTCTTCTTTTGTTTTTTTAACATGTCCCACATTTTTAACACATCAGTATTTACACACATGAGGGCCTATGCCTCTCAAAAAAGAGGGCCATACCTCTTCAAAAAAATAGGGACTAGCGCTGACGGGGTTATACAAGTCAAAAATGGCAAGAGGGGTCATTTTTTGGCGCCTCCAGCGCTAGTATTCTTGCAGGGAGAGCCACCCCCTGGGCAGCAGCCCTGCCAAACCTTCGGGAAGACTCCTCTCTGCGTATGGGTTTGACCGCTCATGCGCTTAGATCTTAGGTCAAAAAATGCGAAAACTAGCGCCACAAATTATTTCTCCAGTTCCAGGTTCTACAAGGTAAGGGGTGGGGCCAATCACTTCAAACTTAAAGACTTTGGAAATGATAACAAGGGCTGCAAATGTAAAAGGAAATGTAGGACATGTGATATAACTAATACAAATAATTACGTTGTATCCAACGTTACCAGTTTATATATCAACACATATAAAGAAGCAGATGCAGATTGTAAACGCTAAAATGTCATGTACTCGTTGCACATGGCAACTGGCTGCGGAATACAATACATGTTGAATACAGTAATAAATTAAAGTAAAGAATTGGCGAACACTCTTTCCAATTTTCTACAACACAATAGTACACACACCATTAAATAATCCAACTTCTATACTAAATGCGATAAGGGCATAACGGTACAAGTTCTAGACTGTATGAAGTCTAACGATAAAACTACTTTAGCAGAAAAAGAACTTTTTTGGATCAAACTTCTTATGACACCGGCAATACTCCCTTTGGATTAAATGATAACATAAAGGGATATGGAAACTTAACAAATATAGATAATCCTCTTATGTACAAGGGCAATCATCCCTTCTTCTGTCTTAAAATTACAAAACAAAGGGTCAATAGAGGAAAAAGAAACAGTAAAAAGAATAAAGTAAACACATACGATAATATTATAGCAGAGATAACAAGTAATAGCGAAACACTCAAACCTATCCAGTACTACAGAATGCTCAAGTGTCTTCGTAAAGAAGAAATTAACAAGCTAATTGAACTTTCCACGTCTGCAGGTTTCCTGCAGAGAGTGAATAATAAGACCAGGTATTTAATATTTTGCCTGCTAGCTCACTTTCACTTTAACACTAACACAAAACAAACCGCCAGAAAGGTCTTTCATAACATAGAGGTCAGTTTCAAGAGCAGAGTATTTAATGAAATACCCTTTAACAAGATCTTTAATTCACGTACTGTCAGAGAGATACTGCTCAGCGATAATAGGAGGAGTAGTGAATTCACCCCAATCAGAATTATTTATAAGTACAACAACACGATGGCTAGCAAAATATGCAATTACAACAAAGTGTTGAAAGATCTCGACAACGAAAAATTAAAGCACATACTTAACAATGGTTGTATATGTACTACAAATACAGTACAAGAATTTCTCGATAAAAATTATGAACACGTTATCACAGGCAATGTAAATCTTATAAAAGAAGAGAGTTTTAGAAGATTGCTTAGTAAAGGAACCAAATACAGATCAGACACAGGTATAACAAGACAAGAAGTTAAGATGGTGTTTGAAGATACACTCAACAAGGTCATGAATTATTTTAAATGTAAATACAAAGGCTAGCAATCACTAAAAATAAATCTCTTAGCAGAAGCATATTCCGCTCATGTCCATGACAAGTAAACCTCTACTAAGCAAAGTTAATATTATGAAATATAGGAGAACACATACCTTATAGCTTAATCAAGCAATATCAAGAAAAATATGTGTTCTGTCCTCTAGACAAAGCAAATAATAACTATGGCATTATCTGCAAGAAGTTCTACCTTTTGAACATAATGCATGAAATGGGCATTTCTTATGATGCTACCAACCACACATTTGTTTATGGAAATAGTAATAACACATATGAATTAATGCCTCATACAAACAAGTATTCTTTAATATTGAAGCACAAATTCCTCTGTGCAAAGAAATAATATCAATATATCTGTTGATGCAGAAATACCTACTATATATGCCTTACCAAAGCTACACAAGAATCCAGTCAAATTTAGATACATCACAGGTGCTCATAGTAGCAGTGTTAAGCCCTTGCGCCAGACTACGCCCTAGTCTTCTAATCACATCTCAAAATCACTTTTTATTACTATGCCAAAGTAATAGCAGCATCGCACACAGGACCTCAGACATACTGTCGCATTAGTATTTAATTATAGTCAAGACTCACAACATCCCATACGACAATCTTAAAATCTACACTGCGGATTTCACGGACATGTTCACAAATTTGGAACATGATCTCATTATAAAGAAAATGCAAGAATTGCTTAACATTTGCTTCAAAAATGCCAACAGATCTTTTATTGCCACTAATGGTTACCATGTTTTCTATACAGATGGGAAAGAAATCAAGAACAACTACAGATATTACAAATCCAGCGATTTAGTATACTTTATTGACTATCTTTTACGTAACAGTTTTTGTCTTTTTGCTAATAATACGTTCAAAACAGACAAAAGGCGTCCCACAAGGTGGTAATTTCAGTCCACTTTTGGCAGATTCTAACGCTCTCTGTCATGGAGTATTACTATGCTAAATCCAAAAAGTTTGATAACAGTAAGCTGTTCATTCCATATAGATATATGATGACGACGATTTGCTTTTTGTACATAACCAAACTGACGGTGACGTGGATGAACAACTTTATCAAGTTTATCGAAATACCCTTGAATTGAAAAAAACTCATAATAGTGAATATTCCAGCAATTATTTAGATTTGACAATCAATATTTCTAATGGTAAAGTTAATACTAAGTTGTATAATAAAACGGACGATTTTAGCTTCAATGTAATCAGATTTCCATATAGTGACACAAACATTTCCCTTATCAACAAAGCCTCTGTTATATATACGGAAACGTTGAGGTTAGCAAACACTTGTACGTTCTTCGATGTATTCGTAAGCAAAATAACGGATATGGTCACCACTCTGTCGAAAAATGGCTACGAAGAAGATTTTATTATTACTAGCATTGTGAAATGTATTTACAAAAATAAATTTATAAGTTACAAATACTCTATTGCAAATAACTATAAAAAGATAAGTAGGCTGGTTAAAAGTATTCTCATTAGCAACGATGTTCAACTCTAACTCTCATTTTATCGCTACAATTTTTATTCACCGTTGTAGTCAGCTCGACGGTGTCTTTTACTCAACATTCCCTTAATTGGTTGCCCATCTACTCCATTCCAATTTTCTTCCTCTTACACGTATTTAGTACTCAGAACTTTATAACATTCTCTCATTTTTACTGTACAATTCCTTCTCATTTTTATTGCATGAATTTTACACGTGAGCTTTTTCTACATGTTTTCTCTTTTTGTCCTATTTCTTGCTCCTTCCCCTGTGTAGTCTATGTCCATGTCTTCAACCCTGTCGTACTGACGAGCCGGGGGTTGGTAAGACTTCGATGATTCGTCTACGACAACGGGCGAAACGGATCATCTGTGCTGTGGAGTGTATGCATTTCCCCAATGTTTGTTTTTCTTTGTTTTTCTCAATTGGTTGCGGCTTGGACGGGAGCCGATGCGGGATCAACATGCATCGTTTGTGATGAACACATAGGGGTCGAAGCTTTTCCTGCTGGCGAAAGGTTGTGGGGGGTCGTCTTTGGTCGTTGTCGGGAGAGGGAAGGTCATATGTGCTTTTGAGAAAAATTTGCCATTTCTTTCCAGTTGTAGATCTTTCGTGATTTTTCCTGTTTCACGTGTCCTACAAAGTTTGGGGGGGAAAAGTGGAAAATGTACGACATTGGTATGTAGGGTGCTCGGGAAAGGGGAGGGGGTCGTACCGAGACCATCACTGAGGTGGGGGATCGTCCTTGCACCGCTCCTCGAGGTGGGGGGAAGGGGGTCGTAACTACAGCACCATTTCACACTCGTGATGCTGCACCCTGTTCGGGATTTGACCCGTTGACCGCGAGCGTGGTAAGCTTACCACTTGCCACACACCACCTCCGCCTCTGAAGAGATTATAAATTAAAAAAATTGACTGAGTTCATAAAATCATTGCGTAGCGCCAGTAACCTTGGGAGCCTTGAAAAAACTCTATCGTCTTTTACCATGAAGATGAGGACGTGTGCGCAAGTCTAATAGTGACGGAGCTCTGGGGTGTGTGGACCAATTTCAGTTACGGTAATACTATTCAGATAAAGTTAATGCCATTCTTGACGGACAAGGAGCCCTTTGAATCCCCCTCCAAGGTTGTAACGCCAACGGCTCCGTCAACAGGGAACAGCAGAAGCACCACAGCAGAAAACACAACTTGACCGAATATTGCAAGAGTAACACAACTGAGCGTACCACATTTGATTCCGCATATTATCGTCATTAATCAGTATATAATCGGAGAAATTGTGCACTAATCGGACATCCTTCCATGACATATATACGTAAATATCAGCATCAAATGACTGAAAATTATTAACTCACAAAAGCTATCATGAGCTTTTTTTTCTCGAAAATCGGAAAAATCAGTGATGTACCAGAAGAATACTCATGAAGGATGGAGCGATCAATACGTATCACTTGTTCATCGGTGAATAACTTTTCGCATCTACAGAAACAATGCAGAAAGGAGGACAATGAAATTTTATTGGACGGTTTAGTTACAGTCCACATCACGGCCCCTAGAAGGGGCGTGTCTACGGAAATAGCTGTGTGCAGAGCTGCTGGTCCAGCCAGTGTGGGAGCAGGGATACTTCAACGTTTTCACGCTGTCTATGCTGTCTTGCTCACAATACCTACATTTCCCTTAGGACCGGCAACGGTCTACTACTGCACAATTCTGTGGCCACGCCCTCTTCGTACCCCACAAAACGAACAGTAATCCGCACATCAAAACATTCCTTTGTGAAAGTTCGGCTTAGGCAAAAATACGAGCTTTTTGGGAAAGAGTAACAGAGACGATAATAAGCTCAATTTAAATTGCTCTGTCATTACAACTATGAGTTTAAAACCAACTACGGCTTCCTAGACACTGAGAAAGCATAAATAATCTCAGTATTTCGTATGCTTGCTTAGTTAAGGAATATTTGAGCCGGCATATACTCCCTTTAGTGAATTTAAAAAGGTTGCAGCGTAATTGAGTGTCAAATACGAGTGCGATAGATGGACATGCTTGACGCGCAATTTATTCCACAACCCACGCTTGGGATGCATACGGCTGATTGATGCTGAGACGTCACCTATAACAATTGGCATCATAATAACGATGGATAAAATTCTTACCGTTGACTAGTCCCTTCTTCGGGATGCGCCACGCATTCTACTTCCATTCAAGATCGTAGTGGCTTCTTGAATGCGATCAACCTATACAATGAGTCGCTGGGATAGCCAATGTACAAGTCGGTGTTCTTATCCTCTCAGTCTGGTACCACTTTGTCGTCCCCGCAGGGTAGAAGACTTTGTTGGCCTGGGCGGAAGTCGGCCCCGCGATTTGAACCCAGGACCATGCCAGAGCGGTGAGCGCGCCAGTTGCCACTACATCACCCACCTCTCGTCGGAATATAAGCTTCTTAAAATAAGATCACCTGACAGTTCATGACATGGTCAAGAGAATGTGGGGCATTCCTGTAGGACTTTTTGGGCAAAATTCTCAATACTAGCTCTGATTCATATCATTAGAGAATCTTCTTCTTTTATTGGCCCTGACCTGTGAATATTAAAACCCCTTTTACAGCATCTTGCAACTATTCAACAGTATTCCCATTTCACACACGGCTATCGACTGAATACATCGGGCAGGAAATCAGTAATAACGACATCTTCTGCACACTGCGTTAACTTCTCTAAAGCGAGTTTAGTTATGAGCTTCTTTGACAAGTGCTGATCGCATTTTGTAAGTAATTAGTAAAAAACTGTTGAATTAATTCAAAGCAGATAAATCACAGTAAAGCATAAGCTCGAAAGTATCAAAATCATTACCATTTCAGATGATCGAAAATTGCCAAGACTCTCCAAATACATTCCTAGCTTCACCTCCAACGGATGTGTAGCGTTTTCCGTTGGTGGTCGCTTACTTCGATGATGTAACAGTTCTTCCACTGTTTCCAAACATTGTGAGGTAAGGAATAGAGGAAACCTGGAATAACATTTTATGAGAATGCGCTTTATTACAACACATTTGGGATGAGCCACATCTTCTCCTCCCATATGTAGAATGCCTACTTTTCCCATTTTGACGAAATGTAGATGACCACAACATGTTATTTACATAGTTTTTGCACTAAGTGGCTGAGAGGGAAGCACATTTAATTAGTGCAATGACACGACAGAAACAGGAAAATGGAAAAAATTTTCTAGAACAGATTCCACCGGTATGTGCTTCAGAATGGGCCGCTTGCCAGTAGCAAAGCCATGTTAGAAGAGGTAACGTATCTCTGCCAGAAAGTGCAGGCGAGCAGACGTGACGCAGTTTAGCTTCGTTGGAAAGTAGCCTTCGCGAGACACATTGTACACGCTTTTTTTTAACCCACAAATTGTTGTTGCTTGAAGGCAAGTGGTACGAAGATCTCTAAGGCGTGTGTGATTAATACGCTAGCAAGGACACAATTAGGCGCCCCTGAGTAGGCGGTAAGTGGCGTCTTTTTCAAGGAAGGTGCCCTTACAGCGCCCTATCAATCTGCAACATACCTACCCGGATGCCGCCCACCGCTCCTGCCTGCCCACAAATGTTTGACCGATGCTGATGCTCGTATCGCTTCATTCGCGAAGTACAGCGAAGGGATTGATATGAAGCGGCTGCGGTGCTGCATGGATATATGAGTACATACATGCAGCCGTATCTACGTAGCGGTTATTGGCACGATGCCAAGGAAACTCGTCCGAAATGCTTTCTGAGTCGTGTAGAACAAAATTTTTTCGCAGGTTTTTGACCGCTTCACTTCGCTTTTTGTCATTTTCCCCACTATCCCTTTTTCAGACCGAGTACCGAATTATCGTGCCTAATGCCTCTGAAGTAGATCTCAGAAAGTCTTCCAGTTTTTTCCCCAATGTGCTACAGACACTTCAAAATTCGTCTGGTAACGATGAGTTGAAAAATTCTGTTCTGAGCAGGTTGTGAGCAGGTTTCATTATTGAAAATGATATTGTACTTCTTCAGAATACGAAGGAGGTTAAGAGCATCCGCCTTAGCATAGGCTCAGAGACCAGAAGTCACGCAGGCAAGATGAGCACGTCATCAGCGTTATCAAACGCGCTGTGAAGAGAAAGATGCTTGAACGAAAGGGCGATGAATGTGGAGTTCCGAGTCCCTTAATGGTCGAAGTTCACGGGCGCTGCCGCGTTTGCTTAGAAAGGGTCGTGCACGTCATGCGATTTTATGATGATCGTCGGACCAGGGCGTATGGATCCCATGGGACGTCAAACGAACACTAGGACCATCACCTGCTGCAAAGCCAGATTTCTTCACGAAAGCTGTGCACGAAAGAAGTGGAAGCGTTCGTGTTCCCAGCAGGGCACAGCATTAGTTGGGGATTTCTGTCGGGCCCGTACGATCCCCCCACCCTAAAAGGTGGCTTAATACGACCCCCCCCCTCCTACCTCCTCTAGTTCTCAGATACGATCGAACTGTCGAGTGAGGGGGGTATACAGCACATTTGGAAGGGAGAAACGGCGAGGAAAGTACCCCCTTTGCCCATCCACCT